CTTTGAATTCTGCTGGGCAGAGTAGGACAGAAAACATATTCGGGGCCACATAAGTTAAGCAGCTTCAAACTTTCTTCCTGCAGTCTTGTGGATGGGAGACCTTGTTTTGGGCATGAGTAAAAGGATCTCGTATTATTTTTCTGCTAATTTGGTTCAGTGCAATGCCTCTGCTTTCTATTTGTTCTGCATACACTGGAGAAGTGAAGTCTGCAATCAGACTTCCAGGAAAGGAATGCAACATAGCATCCTTACACTATACACTACTTGGTATAAAGTGTAATAGCGAAAACCCCTGGCATGGTCCTTACATGCTGCCATCCTATAATTCTGCACATATTTTTCACCACAATGTGCAATTGTACTGGTCAAAAATATGAATGTGTTGATACCTTATATTATAGCTGTATGTCTGTGTGTGCACACACCTATGTGAAAGTGTGTGTGCAGGTGTCTAAATACACTTGCATTTCTTGGACTCTGTTTTGGATTTATTTTGATTTTCCTTGTTTCTTCCTGTGGCAGATCTGTGCTGTCTGCATGCAAGGAAGCAATCACAATAATGATTGACCTGACTGTCATGTTTGAACTTCTCCTGACAAAAGCCTGGGTTGGATGAAGAGAATGTGAAGCTGTTAACCTATAAGGGCAGAACCTGTCTGTAGGAAGACCTAAGTTGACTTGAGATGGCAAAAAAAGTTAAGAGGACTGGAAAAAATGCAACTGTAGGCAGATATTAAACCTGAAACCAATGGTATATCATGAGATGTTAGAATTGCTTTGATCTATCAAAGAGTGAGACTACTTTTTTGCCACCTAATGATGCTTTCAATAAAGCCAGAGTGCAGCTGAGTACGGAATGCAGCTGTCACATGTAATCCTCCTGAATGAGAAAGGTAGGCCTAAGGGTGCCATATAAAGTTGGATTTGACTCTTCCTTTCACTGTGAGGTATTTTCAAATGGTGCTCATAAAGATGAATTTTTGGTCTTAACAATTTTGCTGTCAGGAAGCAGGGGAGGGACAGGATGGTGAAGGTTTTCTGCACTTTCCAATACGGATATTGCCTTTTCCAGCACTATTATAGTGCTGAATGTGGATACTGGTGGTATATGGCATTACAGTGAAGCTCATACTTTTGTTTTTAAATCATTATTCTTGCTTTTATTTGCTTTTTTGTTCCTACTGTTTTTTTTTTTTTTATTTTTTTTGGTGTTGTTTTTACTGTTTTTTTTTTTTTATTTTTTTTGGAGACAGCTTCATTCACAGTAATGGAGCACTGGGTATTAAATGAGTGTGTCTGTAGTCCAATGAACTCAGTATGCTGCTCATCTTGTTGCTATACTTAATCTAAATAACCTTTTTTATGCTCTGCTGGAATGGCATTTTCAAAAGGCTATATAGTAGTAAATGAGTGTATATGTCAGTAAGGATTTGCTAGACAAATCAAATCTTCCTGACAAGTACATTTATTCATTGCTATTTACTACACACTTCAGTTTGAAGGACAATTTTTGTGATTGGATCATTAACATTTAGTGTCATTTTGGCAACATTTCCCAACTTTTCTCTTTCCCTTCTCTCTTGCCTGTTGTGTGCTTAGCAGCCTCTGCCTAACAGAAGTTAGATTCACAAGGATTATATTACCAATATGTTAAACAGATTTTTCCCCCTGATCAGTTGGTTTATTGCACAGAAGGCGCCTAAGTGCTAAAGTACATTTTAAATACAAGGTTTCTAAGTGCACCATTAGGAATCTGCTACAGTTACAGCCCTGATAACAAGCAGAGATTTTCTTAAAAGATCACAGATTCTTGACAGGCATATATACATGTTAATTTTATTCAAGCCAGACCTTCAGTAGATATAAATCAATACATTGATCCCAAACTGAAGTCTTGACTGTGACATTGAAAAATATCATGCAATAATGTGAAGCCTCAATGTATTTTGCTCTTTTATTTTTTTATTATTATTGTGTCTTCATTTGAATAAAATCAATTTCAGTAAACTTCTACTTAGCAAAAATTAAATGAGAAAAACATGGAGTTTTCCTGTTCGGAAAAATTTGTCCTTTATCTCATCAAGTGTTACACAGAAGAAGTGCTGATGAGCAGAAGTCAGCAGATAAGCACATAAAAGTGGAAACTGAGGGAAGTAGAACCCAGGAAAAAAAAAAACCACTGTGCTCAGGCAGATAGGAAATCAGAAGAGAATCACCAAGATCAGACCTGGGGAAAATCCAGCTTTCTTCACCAACAAGGCAGAGCATAATAAAAGTACCTCTGTGAGTTTGAGTATTTTTACCAACCCAGAAAATTATCCTGCCTCTAGGGTATTTTCCAGCTAAAACCTTCATATAACAAAGCTCACAGGTTATTTTCAACCTAAAACCTTCCCATAACGGAGCTCACAAAACTGTGCAAGTACCCAAAGAAGCCTCCTATATTCAAAATTGTATCAGTACCTACTTTCACGTCCAAGGATGGCATCTGGAATCCCACTGAAAGTTCAAGGTATCTACACCATTTTGAGTGACAAAATTAAGAAAGGAGTGAAATGTATCTCAATTGTTTGCAAAATGAGTGGTGGTTTACTAGGACTTAGCTGAGAATTGAATCACTCAAAGATAGATTTTGCTATCTTGATAAATAACTAATTGCTAAAAAAATCCCACCACCAAATTACTAAAAGCACTTTTAACACAGCAGACATCCAAATGCCAGACTGCATACACTGCTGTCTCATTCTCACCAGGCCTAACTGGAAAATACTGAAACATCAAACACAATGATAAAAATTTGGGAGGAAGGAAAGAAATGAAGAAATTATGGACTTCCATGTGAACTTCCACCTTGCTAGAAATATTCTGGTAGCCTACGGCTGTCGCTATTGGACACAAAGTACACAGGTGATTAGCAAGTTCAAAGGAGAAAAAAGAGCATTTTATTTGAACATCTGGTATTTATAGAATTCCAGAGGTGACTGTGGATTGGAGGATGGAATTACCACCTCTCCAACCACACTGGTTAAACTAACAGTCTATCAAATCTCTCCTCTCACAAAGTAGAATGCAAAACAATCATTATTTACATGAATTTATCATAAGAACTCTAGTAGAAATATGTAAACAGATCAGAAGGCTGAAGAAATTTTATGAGAACTCTAAAACTTTCAAAAGAACTATAAAAGAAAGCTTAACACTTTTAAAAATCAGGGCAACATGCTGCCATTGTTAACTAAGTCCGAGAGTAAATGAAACAAAAACCTAAAAAATTACAAAATAATGTATATCTTTATTTAATGAATTTTTTTTTTAAATCTTACTCATTTTTTTCTTATTTATATTTTTCTATAGTTAAGAGGAAAACCCAAACACTGACATTACACATAAGATTTCTCTACACCATCTAACATAGTTCCCCAAGCAGCACCAAAATCAGCCTGCTCACCTGGTTGGCTATAAATAAGGAAAGAACTTGGATTCCCAGGCAGCCTAACCCACCTGTCCTCTCCAGGTGAGCTATGGAGACTGCCTGGGAAACTGATGTCTCACTGCAGCCATCATGAGCCTGAGTTTCTGATCACTGGAAATTACTTCCAAGACAATATCTGCTTGAAAATTTGGTTATAATTGTGCTGTTCCTGAGAAACATTTTAATTGTGACAAACTGCCACATTCCACTGGAAAAGGAAAACTTTCAGCTGCTAAATTTCTTACTGATTCTCATTAGAGCAGCTCAGATTTTGTACTTCCAGCTGAGTTTATAAGTAGGTCTGTTAGGAAGATCATCTTGCATTTGGTAGATCTGGTTTAGAGTCAAGCAGAACAGGTACACAACAAAATTTGGGCTATATGGTTTTCAGTTTCTTTCCCTAAAATTGCATTTTGAAAGTGAAAATTTTTGCTCTATTATACTGAAGTATTCCCTCAAAAGTTATTAGGTTTTTTTTTTTAATAAGCCGCTTTTGCTGCTGCACTTTGCAATGCTGTCCACTCCCTTTCTCCCCCAGAGTAACCCAATAACAATACACATGTGGCACTGTGAATACTGTTGCTGTAAATCAGTCAGAGATTCATAAAGGAGGAAATGTGATAACTGAGCAGGTCAGAGAAAGCAAATGCTGGATGCTAACTTAATTTACAGAGTGTAAAATGTCACCAATGAAATCTACAGCACTACATGGGTTTAAAGCAAAGGTAAATAAGAACTCCATAGAATGCAAAAAAAAAAAAACTGTCCAAGATAATACAATATTATATAACAAAATTTAACATAATATTCCAAATGAAAACTTAAACATGTGTTATCTGGTAAAGCTCTCCTTAAAATCTGTTTACCTCAGTGAGGGCATGGTCTCCTCTTTGAATTATTCATCCTTCATGATGCCTTTCAGTCCTTATATTCTCTGTTTAAGAATACACTGTGCAAAGGCAAATATGAGTAACTGGTGCTGAAAAAGGCTCACAAAATAGATGCTATTTCACCTTTCACCCATAAGCACAGGAATGTGTCATCAGAACATAGCCCTTACCAAGCTGCTGTCTCAATTTCTCAGTGTTAGAATTTCAGTAATCCCAGGTAAGCTGGCTCCCTTTTTTCTTGGATCCAAGTTATTTTCCCTGAACCAGAAAAGGATTTACTGTGGAGCTTTTTAAAAACAAACAAGCATAACATATTGGCAGACACATATACAAAAGGTTTATCTATAACTGCATCCAGAGTGGACCCTGGAAATTCAATATGAATACATCTTCATAATCTTTTGCTAGTCACATTTATGCGTAGATAGACAAATATGTGTGCTGGTCTGATCTTTGTTTCTAGGTCCACACATAATACAGATAGCCTTTAGAATTATACCACACAATGCAGTTTTATTGTGGTTTCTTTTTATCACTCCATAACAGCACAAAAATACTAACTTGAAGGCAGAAATAAGCTAAAAATGTATCAGTGCTTTTAGGTCTTACCTCGCTCACCTTATCTTTGAAGTGTGCAGGATGTGGGCTATGGCATTTCTATTTAAAAGGCAAAAAGGGTGAATACAGAGGTCACCTGCCTTCATAAGGTTGTCGTTTGCTCCACTGAAGAGAAGTGAAGAAGAGAAGAAAAAGAGAGGAGATAACATTTAGGGGAAAAAACATCTACAAGCAAACTATCTTTAACTACTCAACTATTCAAGGATATTATCATCTCACTTTCCTGTTTCATGGGCTGTGGTATTGTGCAGTTTCACAAATTTTAGAAATCAGAGAGATGCAGGATCTGTTGTACTTTCTTGGTTCAAGGCAGTTGCTATTTACCATCAGGGCGGGCATCTGCTGTATCCAAGCAAGGTCTTCACACATTATTTTAGATCTGTTTCGTTTTTCCTGGTTCCATCAGGTTCCTTGTTCTGTCAAAGGCTGCAAGCAGATAAAAAAGGAATTCAAAATGCACTTCAGGCAAAAACGTGGGATCTCATGATGTATCTTAGCTCCAGACTTTGGTGGGCTGGAGAAATACTTCATAAAAGCAAAACTGTTCCCTGGAAGTCTTCTTTAATCAAAAATGGCAAGTAATGGTAATAAAGACTGAAGATTAGAAAATTAAATTGCCCAGCTTGGCAATTAGTATGTCATGAGATAATTAGGTTTTAAGTAATAGGGTGGAAAAGTCTGGGGAGAAGGGACAAAGAAAAGTATCTTCCAAACAAAGTTCCAGAGGTAGCAAGCTGATCGAAAGAGCAATTCTCCTGCAAAGTCATATCTACCCAAAATATAATTGGAGCTCCATGTCTTTCTTTCCCCACTGTTTCTCTCACAGTTTCTGTCTCTAACAGTTTCATTTTACATTCTCTTTTAGAAAACACATGACAGCAAAACATCCAGCTGCTTATGGAAAATTCAATAGCTTTTGTGATTTAAATCAATATGATTTTACAGGTGGTTGTTTTGCTATTCATATTTTTTTTTAATCGCTGCATTTATAATTCTGACATAATATAGTTTTCTTCATATTCACAGCCTTTGACAACCTTTGCTCACTCACCAAATTCCCTCACATTTCTGGTAGTATCAGGTCCTGAAAATCCTCTCCCATTCATTCTCAAGTTTCTTGGCTTGCCTTAAGACAGCCATTGTACTACCATCATTATTATTTAAGGTGTTTGTGGATGTTGTAATTGTTGACAAAACCACTAGTTTAGCAGTCTAAAAAGCTCCCAGTGTTAAGTCAAGCCAATGTAGCCTTCTGGCCACATTTAAAGATAGACCTAACAAGAAGTAAGAAGCAAAAGTAACAAGAATTCCTCTAAAGAATTCACCACTTTTCGCAGTTGAAAATATTAACCATTATTTATTTGGTTTACATTCTATTTCCTGTTTTATTGCCTGTTGGAATTATGTTATTAATGCTCAGGCCTTCTTTTAAATTAAAAATCTACAGGTTTAAAAGTTATTTGGGAGAGCTGTAAATTAAGGTCCTAGAAATTAAGAACATTTTTTAGTCTGGGATAACACAGAGATCATGGAAAGAAATGTGTTTGATATATTCATCTGCTGTGCTGTACTCCCCAGTTGTGTCATTTTGGCCTAATACAAAAACAAGAATTGGTCTGATTGAAAAATGGTGTTCAAGGACCAGTGATTTTTTTTCTTCTCTTTCCACATTTCGCACATACATTTCTAAATCATTTTGACTCATCCTAAATGCCATAAATGAAGGCTGCACATTTTGAGCAGATTTGGTTTGTTTTGGTTTTTTTTTTTTAAATTACTATAATTTGTATGTAACATGTTTTGGCAACCTTGAGTCCAGATGTAGCCAATTTTCAATGCATTTTACAAAAAATTAAGGGCTGAAAATAATGAAGGTTAAAACCAAGCTGTTGTTGAATGCCTGGCAAAGTGTTTTCCAAAAGACAATCAGAATCTTATTGTGCATGCACAGTATGGTACATGGCCCATTTTTTTAATATACTTAGTAGACACTCTCAATAAAAAGATGAAAGCCACAGCCTTCCTGATATGTGGAGGGTGCAGTGTCAATTGTTTGCAGATTGAACATTCCAAACCACATATATATCCAGAAAACCCTTCAAGAGCCTGGAAAAATCAAATATCCTCTTTTATTTACATGGTTGCTCCAAAGTCCAGGACTGGGGTACTTGGAGTGTCATCTTGTGAATATTCTTCTTATTTTCTGCCTTATTTTCCATAATTTATAGGCATATTATTCGATTAATTTTGCCCTCTCCTATTTTTCTGTTGTGGTCTTATGAACAATAAATTCCCCCTTGAATTCAGTGTAGAACAAGATTTTATCAAACAATGCTAGCTTTCAGTGTAATTGAAGATAATTTGAGCTAAAATACAATATTAAAATTCAGAACTAAAGTCTCTTTCAAACACAACCACTTATTAAAGACAATGAGGTCTGGTGTCAGTCCTTTGGTTCCCTTTGTTTCAAAGAACCATACAATTTCCAAACTTATATAGGGGTTAATTTTTAAACCCAGTGTTACATTAATTTTTTTGTACATATAAGACTCTTTTTGCTTAATAAACTAAAAAATAAATTGTTTATTTTGTTTAACCTTTAAAGATTTTTTTTTTTACTACCTTCCAATTAAGTGATCTTTTATTAATTTAGGCTATGTTTACCCTATCGCCAAGTATAATTTTTCTTTCTATAAGACTTATTTTAAGATTAACCTACTGGTTTGGTGTTTGGTCAGAAATCCTTCTGTCTGGGGAGTGCAACAGTGTCTGAGCCCTAAATGACTGATTTAAGCCTTCCTGCTTCCCAGACTATACAACAAGATAATAAATACTTTACAAAAGATCTGCTGTGAGGATTCATCAGTTAAGGTTTGAAGACAAGGATGCTGCCTGTTTAGCATTAACCTTTAAGAATGTGACACCAGAGTTTAGGTTTCGCTGCTGCGTTTCATGTCAATGGAATAAGTATCTCTAGATGGAGGGATATCTCACACAAGATGTTTGTCAGGAAATGCATGCCCTCTGGAGTACATGATGCTGTTTAATGGCTTACAATTTCTTCACATCAAGAGCTCTAGCTCTGCAGCTGAAAATAATCACACAGCACATACTTGAAATCTGCGCCCCAGTGCTGAGCCTCAACTCGTTCAAAGGTCGACAGGTGCAAACCAGGTTTAAAAGAGCACCCCAGCAGATGTTCATATGTGCAGACTAATCAAAGACTTCAGGTGTACCAGGTTGGGACAGAAAGGCTTGTAAGTAAAGATTTGGTGATTGAACAAGAAATGTTATGATTTAAAAATGTAATAAATGTCAATTTGCATATCAGTAAGATTTTTGCAACCTGTAGCTGAAGTCCACTCACCCAAAGAGTTATGGTTAATAAATATAAAAACAAATTATATTAATTCTTTCAAGTTGCTGCAACCAACCTTCCTCCTTGAAAACTTGCAATTAATGCATGTGAGCAAGGTGAGGAGCAGAGGACTGGCTGAACAGGTGGAGCAGCACACAGCTGTAATATTATCAAGAATCAACAGAAAAAAGGATGGTGTTACCATAAGCACTGAAGAGTCTTATTCTGCCTGGGTTTATCTTATTTCCTTTGCCCTCTTTCTTCTCTCATTTGTCCTTAGTCTTTGGTTGCTTGGCTTTTCCCTTACTTCCAATTTTAACTGGCCATCTAAAATCCCACAGCCAGAAGAGATGCCTGCATTCTAAGAATGTCACATGAATTGGTAAGGTCCTACTTATAAATGGTATTACAATAAGATCTATTAATGTTCTCTCTTCTTTCCCTAATCTTTTGCTATTCTGCAAGGTACCAGTGTGTTCCCTTTCTTATCCAGTTCCTATTTGGTGGGCTTTGCAAACATAATTATTTTATTTTCCCCACACTTTTAAAATCTATATCCTTTTTTTTCTCCTATTCTTTTTGGTTTCTATTTCCTTCTTATGGCAAGTCTTTTTCCAGCAAGACTTTTTTTCTGACATAACTTGGGATTTGTTTTAGTAGCCTCAACTTTTGTACAATATCCAAGCATTGTTTAAATAAAATACTATACATTTATTGTCTGTTGTAAATATGTAATATTATGTTCCAGTCTGCTAGGAAAAAAATCGTAAATCAAATTCAACTGAACTTCACAAATGGAAAACATAATGTATGAACTTTATTGATCATATCTATATGTATGAGTATTCACACAGCAGTTATTAAATTCCTGAAATCCTATCCTAAAATAGATTGTAATCAGAGCACAGTCTCTGGCAGGTTTCTTGGAGTATTTTTTTTTTTATTTCACTTCATTCAAGATCTAGATTTGGGACTTGGCAGAAATGTCCCTTGGCAGGCTATTACTGGTAATGCTATATTGAATGACATCAGGGATGAAACAACTCAGATTTGATTACCACTACAGTGTATTATTCCCGGAAGCAGGAGGGAATGGTGTATGCTCTTGGACATGGTCTAAATAAAGTCTAAGCTGAATAACAAGAATCAAGCAAAAATTATGTAGAATCAAGTATGTTACCCAATTAATCAAAGTACCTTTGATCTAGTGATGTGCTTCTTACACTGAATGAAACAAAAGTTCTGACAGTGTTGTGGGCTGCTAAGAAATAGAGATGCGTGGGCTGTCAAATATTTTCTGTGGCAAAGATCTCATCAAGTAATTATCTGCAACAAATGTTGGGTCCAATTTCTGCTACCCAGACCCTTTCAGAATTCACCAGAGGGTGATGTTGGCAGCCTGTCATTAGGAAAACAAGAGAATGAGTTGGGAAACATTAATAAAAGTTGAAAACAACAGCTTCTGAAACATTTGAATCATCATTCACATGCATGCAAAGAGGCTGCCAGATGAAAAAATAAGAAAGTGGGCTGATGGTAGATAATAGAAAACTAGAAAAGGGACATTGGAGAGTTATATTCAGAAACCTGATGTGAAATTTAAACTGTTCTTTTTTTCTCAGCTTTTTCCAGGTAGCATGTCTTGCAAATCCAGAAAAGAAGTCCTTGTGCCCTTTATCCACATACACACACCTGCTGTGCTTAAATACCCACAGTAGAACAGATCCTCATTTTTGTTTGCTTTAACTGAGAAAATTGTTAATTCCCAGCTGAGGGAAGAGGAAGTATGTAATAGTCATTTATGAGAAAACAAAGTCAAAAGAGAAATGCAGCTACAGCCACTGTAACTACCTAAATTGGCAAGGAGAGGGAGGAAATCCTCATACATGACTGGGATTATGCACCTTCAATCTCATCCTCTGTGTTGCCACATACAGAAGAAACATGCTTGTAACTATGTGCAAATATAAATGAGAGATTGGAAAAGAAAGATAATGTTTTTCAGGAGGCTGTTCTCAATCTGCATATTGCTAAGAGTTTGGTCTTCTATCACTGAAACATCCTGGTT